AAAAAACTTGTCTACAATTTAATTGCATAAAATGTTCATAACCTTTATATATTATCACATTCACGTCTCAATATTTTTTTCATTGCATTCTTATTCTCAAATTAACATAAATTGTTTCTAGTTTTGGTTTTTATTTTTATTTTTCAAAATTTTCTTTACAATTGAGTAAAATGACTTACTTGTCTACATTGTATTTTTAAATAAGCAAATAAACAATAATACAAAAAATATGATTAAATATTTTATTCTCATTTTAAAGGTTTTTGGACAAAAATCATGATTAATGACAATATTTTCTGATGAATGAAAGTGTTATAAGTAAGAATGTGATGGGGAAAAGAATTATTTATATAAGTGTGATAATAAATAAAGATTAATGTACTTTAATATAATTAAAATGTGTTATATTTATTAAAAAAAATAAAAAATGAGGTGTGAATATAACCCCCTTAAATAAAAACTGCTATTGCCCCTAACAAGATGACAGCTTGGCAGGCTACTTCTAAGAAGGTGCTAAGCAATTGCAGATTACAAGAACCAAATCCGACCAGCAAAAACTGTCTGTACATTGGCTGGCGTCCATTTTTGAACCTCTACTGTTTCCTTGAAATTGTCCTTTTCTATCTGATGTTATATAAAACCCTCATGTCCGTTCATTATTCTTCATTCTGTACTTAATTATATCTCAAAAGGAACAAAAAAGCAATGGCAGAAACAAATATGAATGATTTTGAAGATATGTTACCAGTGATGGCCGAAAAGCTAGGTGGCGATGGCCTAATTAGAGAATTATGCAATGGTTTTAGTCTTTTGATGGATAGAGAAAAAGGGCTCATCACATTTGATAGCCTGAAGAAGAATTCAGCTTTTCTTGGATTACAAGATTTGAGAGACGATGAGTTGAAGAGTATGGTTAAAGAAGGCGATATGAATGGGGATGGAGGGCTAGATCAGATGGAATTTTGCGTGCTGATGTTTAGGTTGAGCCCCGAATTGATGCAGAAATCCGAAGATTGGCTCGGGTATGCTTTGCAGCAGGAGTTGAGGACGGCATGTTTTGACAGAAAATGAATTTGGAAGATGCTGATTAATATGATTCTTCGATGGAATATTAAATGGTAAAATAAATAAAAATACGCAATTAGAAAGGCTGTTCTTTGAGAGGATCCTTTGTAATTTTAATTGATTCTTTTCTTTTCATCATATTTGCATTCCCTTTGATATTTAAAGAATTAGTTAATTGGAAAAACTACTGATCAGACCAGGCTATGCCATCAGAATAAGAAGGGCCTTTCGAACAAAATAAACACAAAGATGATACTCGATGGCATTGAGAAAGTTTTAGTTGTCATTATCGTCTTTTTTACTGATATTTATTGACAGATTTATGTTAAGCCAATTGATTAAAAAGAAAGAAGATCATAACATGTATGAATCCATTGTACGTATGATGAAATGGCATTTCATTTTTATTTTTGTTTGTTTTGTTTTTTCATTCGATAGAATACAGAAAAGAATAGCGTGGCCTTGCACGAGGATGACACATTGAGATATTCTTTGCTGGCATTTAGAAAAAAATTAATGACTAAAATTTAAGTTTATAACTTGAAAGATATTCTTTTTGCTTCTTTCCTATGTTTATGGTTCAACATCTCATTCTGATATAAAATTTGTTGGATATTCCAAAGTAATAGTGTCACAAGCTTTGAGATGGGAGATGGAAAATTTATTATCTACAAATGAGTTTTGGGCTTAATTAAAGGAGAATTAAATTCTAAGTTTGATGATTTTGAAATATATCTCCAATCTCAAGCCGTTACACCAACAACAAAATGACATCATTTCGAAGGGGAAAATCTTGATGTGCCACCAATGAACTTGTTTGTGTTCGAAAAGGATCGTTTCCTCGATTGAATCTCAAATTGACACACACCGTGAAATGCTTTCTTTTGGCAAAGAAATGAACATATGTATAAGAACAAAAACGAACATATTTCAAGAATATCATAGTAGATCAAAATGAAATCAACTAAACTCTGCTCGTTTATCGATGATAATGAAATCAAGGGCCTATTGAAAGACAATTTTAGCACTCGAAGAAGCACGAGAAAATCCCATTATTTGAGTTCTTATTTTCTCTCGTAAAAGCAAATCTCTTGG